TTCACAAGTACCATTCCATTCCGGTTTGTCAAACCGTGTGGTGTCTACAGTCCCGACGTGGGTTACGATGGGTTCAGCATACGATGCAGCACATACGGACTTAGCGTTCACACCTTCCACCGCAGATACGATCAGTAAAACAGCGCCCCCGCCCTTATCTGCGGCTAAAGAGATAATCAACAGCGTCAGGCGAAAAAAAGCATCATTACAACGATCGCATCTTCTTCTTCCAAAACGACATACGCCACTCATACAACGCGATAATGCCCGTCTTCGGTATTTATATGTGACATCGAGCCATTTTCCGGTAAGCATAATGGCGTTCTCTTTGCGTGCGGTGGACGGACTTGAGGTCACATTTCGCCTATAACTTAAAGCATATGACAGTGTTACTGAAATACTGTTAATAGCATAGTTATAGTCACTTTATATTTCTCACAAGCCGCACAACTATCTACTTGTTTGCAGACTCGAGGAAAACTAGGACTTTCGAATGAAAAACCAGTAGTTCTGACAATATAGAACATTTTCCGTCTTCAATACCTATCACGCCGTCGACGTCGGAAGGGTCCACGCTCCTATATAATTATATTTACTGGTGTATGCAAACTAATGTTTCCAGGGCTGGCGTTTACATGCGTCCTGTTAATTCCTCCGCCTCATTGACTTGCATTACCAGGGGCGTTTCGCGTACAAAGTAATCCACCTTGAACTTCACTCTGAGTTCATACTTTTTAAGTCGCCTACCATACCATGCTTTATACGCATGAAATAGTCCATGGTATCGGTGAGCTGCATTTATCCGCAACTTCGTAAACGTCTTTTCTGGAGAAAAGTGAATGGCAAGGGTATGGTTTATGGCCGGACGTTCTTACTCCGTGGGGAATTTATCCTGGGCAAAGGAACATTAAAGAACTTTGTGATATTGTCACCAATAAAAAGGTGACGCTATTTTTGCCATTTAATGATAGCAACAAATGAATTTAATGCCCCTTTGAAGGCATTAGCAAATAGACATTACATTGTCGCACTTCTACTTCGATGATTACCCTAAAGCATCTTGAGTCAGATGTGGTTATTCAGGCACACCTGAGGTGAACAAACCTCCGCCACCTTTAATACGGGACCAGTGGTAATAAGGGTTTTTACAGGTGGGGCCGGGGAACGCACAAACGACGAGGTAAGTAATTGTATGCGAAAGAAGAGCTATTGGGAATGCTCAGTTGTACTTTGAGTGGTTTAGAAATAATAACACAAACCCCAACCGCAACCCCTAACCCTAACCCCTAACCTTAACCACTAGCCCCTAACCCTAATCCTTAACAATACTGTCCATCAGGTGTGCTTGCATAACCATATCTTACCGCATCTCTTGGCCAACCCCAGGCAAAAGTCACCGCGAGGTTTTTTATTTCCTTCTCTGTCACACACAAATAGATATCGCTAGGTATTTTCTTTTAGCACAAATGTTCTCCGTAGAAAGTAACCTCGCCCATAACCCATACCATTGCCAAGCGAATTTGAAGCTGGCAGTCATCTCGTCCAGACAGCGGTTTCACGGAGTTACTCCAGCTGCACTAAGCAACGAGGGATCTGACGTGCAGTGAGCGTTTTCTGGCAGTTCTCCGCTCATAACCCTTAACCTCTGAACGTTCTCAACCCTTTCCCCATATTTACTGTTTATTGGCTGTTTACACTTTGCTACCCTGGCCTCCATTATGTTTCTGTACAGGCCTGATGGTGAATAAACGAAAGCGGACGTTTGTAGAACTTGATTTCTTATAAAAAAACAGCTTTATAAAGTTATTCAAAAGTTATTGGAATGGTTAGGGACAAAATGGACGGGACCCCTAACAGCAAAAAATGGCGTATCGAGCTTGTAAATGTCCGCGTTCGCGCCCCCAAACGTATCTTTGATTTGATTGGTTGGTAACGTTGCCAGGGGCCAATCGACTACGTGCGCTGACACATGCTAATCGATAGCATCCGGTGCTCGAGCGGGCTAAGGCTGTCCCTGGGCGGCACTTCCTGCTCTCCGACCAAGCCGTGCGCACGCTCAGTTTGGCCGACATCCTTTTCGTCCTTTTCTCGCCCCGCTCTCTAACTGCTTCTTTTTTATTCTTCCTATAATGTTTAAAGGTGAAAGCAACCGCACACGTCGACGTCACGTACGACGGAAAGCAACAGAAATCATAAGAAATATTAGCGAAAAGGTGAGGCAAATGGTACCGTCGGACACGTCATCGTCGTGCAGATCGTCTGACAGCTCTACGACGTCTATGGTTACTGCTTGATATACTATTGTTAATGTCTGAGTAACGCTGTACGGGTTTAGTGGGCGGCGGATTAAATGGAGGGGAAAGCTTTCTCGTGGATGAAACTCTACGTATCGCTGTGGGCGTTCAGGGGGTGTCTTAAAGATAAGACATGGAGCTGTAGCGCGGAGGCATGGTTAGAGGCTCCACAGGTACCAGTGTTAAAGGTTTTGCAATTCAGTGCATGTTTGCCGAGTTTGCAGTGGGTTGGAGGGACGAAAAGGGAGAAGTCGTCACGTGTACCCCGGGACGTCCCAAGCCCGCCACTCACAGGCGCTATCCTGCTACTGCGTCACGCGGAGGCTCTTGGCTGCTGGGTTTCCTTCCTGGCCCGGTGCACCTCTCCTTAGACGACTAAGGAGAGGTGCACCGGGCTAGGGGAGAAACCTGGACACCTCGCACCTCCGCTTAGCATGGACGCCCGGTCAACATGCGCAGACAAGGGACGGAACTCCCAGAATCAGCAACTTCCACTCCCCGGCCTCCAAGCAGCTGGATTACAGGCGCACGCCGCTACGCCCAGCCGACAGCCACGCCTCTCAAATCCAACTATAAACCGTTTCTCGAAACTTTATTTGATAATATCCACCTACTCAAACAAGTAGTTTGTATTGCATGCAATCATAAATTTCCATGTATGCACAGATATGTTACTTGTCCGGGGCAGGTGGGGAGAATACGTCGGTATTTGCTGGTCGTATTTTCTCCACACTCTTCACGGAAGACATGACGGAGTTTTTGGCCTTCTATGGGAAAATACCGGGAAGTAGAGCCTTCTTTGGGTCTCCCATCTACGACCCCATCCTCGGTAAGACTTATACTTTATGTGCATTAACCTTTTACCTCCCCGACGTCTTCAATAAATGGTGTGTAAGTCATGCGTCCGATAGACAAAAGCTGGAGGAGGCATTTAAGAACGGATCATGACAGGCAACAACGCAGATGCAATCAGGCATCGAAAAGCGGTTTGCAGAACGGTAATAAATACTTGAATGATTAAATTGTGCTTAATTTATTGTAATGTTGAATTTTCTACGTCACCTTCCTTTTAGATGCCCCACCGGCTAGCCGGAAGATCCTGATAGAACGCCGAATGACAAAAACCAAGAATATCCATAGGGTACCGATTGGTACAACTCCTTTAGCCCCTTTATAGTCCCCTCATAAGGCGGGACTGGTGCTAGCATGCCAGCAATTCACAAAAAAGTAAAAATGACAGCTAAAAACAATCCGCGAACGGCAAATCTAAGACGACATGTGGATGATAGCCATATATTTATTTTAGAAAAATAGTTTTGGTTCGCTGACACTCGTGCAGTTACGTAGCTACACAAGAGGTCAGCAGCACACATGGGAAGAATAGGCGTTGCTTTCGAAGACCTAATGCACTTAATAGCTTAAATGTCGTTGTGTTCAGTAAATTAATCAAGTGTGGCATCGAAAAAGCCAGACGACCAAAAACACGGGCTCAGCCGGGATTTGAACCCGGGACCTCTCGCACCCGAAGCGAGAATCATACCCCTAGACCACTGAGCCGACGGCTCCTAGTGCCGACTAAATAAATATAATAAGACACAAACATAGGGGACGGAGCAACACCGGTTCCGGTTTATTTGCCGTCACCAGCTAGCTATAGTCCAATCGCATGTCAGGGAAACCTGAGATATGAATCCAAGATAGAGTGTTCTCAGGCAGCTTATTCAAATATTCTACCAGTTGAACCACGGGCACGCGTCTTGAAAGCTGCTATCAGGACTATTTAAGGTCACGTAGAAGGGGAGTTTCGCCGAAGCGGTTCGCAGGCAGGGGACGTTCCACATAGTAGAAATAGGCTAGTACACGGTTGGCTGAACGCTTGATAAAATGGCCATTGAGAGCGGCAGGCAAGATTCACAGGAGCTCAGCTAGAATGCACTTGTGTGACAGTGTTGCTTGTGAGGACCAAATGTTGGCACTTAAGGATCCTCTTGCGTTTCTATGTCCCACAGTCTATGCGTCTCAGAAATAACACAGAAGGAGGAGGCGAGTACCATTCAAGCAGTTATGGGACGTGATCATACTTGCACAGCACTGTTAGTAAGCCATGACCAAAGGTCTTTTAAACCTCTTTGTCCGAACTCTAGCCGGACCCTCTCACCTGACTGAGTAGGATTTCATACTACTTTCGTCTATCCTGCTCGGGTTCACCATGCCTAGCATGTAGTTTATCGTCTGCCGCATGTGACTTCTACTAGCCTGGTCTTTGCAAAGCATAAATAGGCGAAAGTCGTTGGGAATTTCGTGAAAGGTCGCGATTTTGGTGCGCCGTTAAGTCTGCTGGCTCTGACATGTGGCTGAGGAGTAGTCGGCTCTTGTCGCTTGAGGGACCAGTACATATGGCAGAGGCGAGGGGCTGGTTAAATGCCTGGTTCAGCACTGCGTTTACAGGCCCCACCAGTCGTCATAACCCAAGTTTTTTACCAGTCGAACAGGCGGGTGCTGTCAATGTAGGGCAGGCCTCGCGCAGTATAATTGAATTTAATCCAAAAGCAAGTTGCTAACTGGACAGTGATTGGCGTCATCAAATTGAATTAAAAAAACGGGGTTCGCAACAGATGCATTGGGCCAAAACGGAGTCGGATTGGCTCACAACACGCGTTAATCAGGCGGTGCAGAGCCCGCGTGAGCGCTTACTTGCTCCCCTGCATGCTGGCGAGCCTAGACGTGGGTCTTCACCTCGCGTCAGCCATTGCCCCCAACTCCATCGGTAGCTGGTTGACAGACACAGCAGTCGGCTAGTGCATTGGGAAAATGAATGGAGAGAGAGGGGGGGGGGAAAGAAAGGAGGGAGAGAGATCGAAATGGGGGAATCTAGCACCGCAGCACATTGGCGCATTCCTCACTATAAAATATCTGACGCACTTGAATCTATAGAAACGCCCCACCAGTCGTCACGTGAAAGGGCGCCAGCTGACGGTTTAACTAGGTCAGGCTGCAATGGCTCCTTCTTAATCCGGTCTCTTTGGCACGTTCAACGATGAGAGATTCAAGTCATCCTCCAGATGGCTCGATGGGTGCTGGGGTGACCAGGTCGCGTGTGGCGCGCATAAACGGACTGTTTAGCGTGGCCCGACACTGCGTCATCCACCGTCTCCGGTCGTCGCGACAACGTCTTGTTATCGGAGAAGGGTAGCTAAGAGAGAAGACAATGTGGTAGATGCAGCCGAATTCTGTCACCGGTTCTGTGCCCAGTCTGTGTGGACGCCGTCGTCCATGACGATCGATCACCCGGTGCGTATAAGGTGCCAGTGGACGGACTGTTCGCCCGTAAGAGTTGCTCTCCTTGCCAAAAGTTGCAAAAGATAGCCACTGGGCTCTGCGACCGCCAGTTGTGCAGCTCTCGTTTGCGGCTTTACTAGGCTGTACAGAGCAACCACTTTCACGGGCGATGAAAGCAGTTCAGATTAGCTTTAATATATCTCCAATGCGAGCGTATATGTCTGCAAGGTCTAGTTCGGTTCAGTGATGTGAATCAGCCGTGACGGTGCACTCACTGGCAAGGGTGACGCTACTGAGTGCGTCAATGAAGCGAATAAAATCTTCAATGACATGAAGGCCTGTACTCTTCTCGCCGCAGATCCGATGAAAAAGCAAGCCCCATCAATCAAGAAAAAGGTAAATGAGCTCGCTCGTCCGAAAGTTATAAATCCAGATGGCACCAAGCTGATGACCCTCAGTGATCTCTATATCGCACACGCTGCATCAGAGACTGAAGGACGCCCTCGCAGCCATGCAGCTTACCCGTGAAGAGGCAATTAGAGACAGCTTACCGTTTCTGTACGTGAGCGATGGTAGCCCCGCAACAAGCGCCCATAAGAAAGACTATAATTCTGAGATTATCCTCAACTATGAAAGCAACCACCCTGCAGCTCGCAAATGAAGCTGCGTCCGAACTTTGTTCAACCGGACCTACCGATATCGCAACAGCGAAGATCTCCTCAAGAAAGAGCTTGCTCACCTCTGTCGGTTATTTCGATCTAACGGATATCCGATTAGTATTGTAAAGAACTGCCTCAGGCACAAGGCACAGCCGCAAGACTCCAACCCCAACGGAAATATTTGACACGAAAATCCCTCTTCCTGTCATATATGCGGGGAACCTCTGAACTAATCGCCCAGCAGTTAAGTCGCATGAGTATTCACCTTGCCCACAAAGCGGCATGCTTGCTATGCGCAGCACTATCTTGAGTTGGAGATCCCATCGCCAAAGAGCAAAAAACGAATCTAATTTATTGCATCCCATGCGCAAACTGCTTCTGCGTGTATGTTGGTCATACGAGTCGACGCCTGAGCACCCGTATCAAAGAACACAAATTAGTTATCTGTCGGCGCGAGACTCCCTGTCCCTCATCTTTGCCTATGCACTCGAGTACGACCACCGATTCGATTGGGATAGCACCGAAGTTGTCGACATGGCTAAAGCAGAGCTAGCGAGAGAATTTCTCGGAGCTTTGTACTCCAATGCGGGTAGTTGTTCCGCCTCCTCACCCTCCTCACACGCCAATGGTCTGTCTGTCCTGTCGCGCAAACTGGTCTAGTGTGACAGTCTAACCTTCTCTATTGTTTTCATTCTGTCGGACGATGGGTTGGTGTCACCAGCTCAAAAATACACTAGTACACCTAGATTTTCCCGAAGAACCTCTTCCCCTTTTCATATACATATTTGGGTATATATATATATATTTCGAAAGGAATAAGCTCTTTGTGAATGATTAACAAGTTTTATTGTAAATTTTCGATCTTGGTTCCCCAAGTCGTCTTCAGACGTGAAGTAAGTGTACAAAACAGTCAACATTTAAACATGCCGAAAAAATCGATTTTGCCTTGTCATTCTTGCTGTTGTATCGTTCTGATTGGCTAATGCCTTTTCCACTTTTCCTTGAGGCTGTTGTACATCGTATCTAATTCTACGTGTCGATTGATGCATGCGTTATCAGAATGGATGACTGTTTTGCACACTTACTTCACGTCTGAAGACGACTTGGGGAACCGAGATCGAAAATTTGAAATAAAACTTGTTAATCTTTCCCAAAGAGCTTATTCCTTTCGAATTATGAGTATTGGGTTGCCTGTTTTCAAATTCATACGTATAAATAAATAAATAAATATATATATATATATAATGTTAGGGGGCGCTCACCGACCGTTCCTACGGAACTCACTCTTTCCGTTGTGCCTTATGGACTCTCTCTCGAGCCCAAACAACAGCCGCACAGCGACGCATGCTATAGACAGAATGATATTACCGACAAAGACAAGGGAGACTGGAATGGCCGTTTTTGGCTTATTAGCCGTCGTCAGCCAGTCATAGCCAACCCCGAAGTATGGCACACCCGAGGCTCAAACTCGCGACCTGTTTGTTAGAAGTCCACGCCTCTAACCACCGAGCCACGAGCCATATATATATATATATATATGGATATGGAAGGAAGTGTTAACCCCAGATGTTTAGATTGGCGGAGAAGGTTAGGCGATCTCTGGTGAAGATAGTTTAATCATCGGATGTTTCACGCTCACACTTGAGCGCATCATCGGAGGTAGACAGGAAGGGAAAAACAAGGCTTAAATAAGTCATTCCTACTCACTCCTGGTAGGCCCATCACCCTCTCTTCTTACTGGTTCCCCTCTCTTAAGCAAATAGTGCCTGACATCCTCGTATGGGATTGGTGGATCGATAATACGGTTGATCGAGCTGGCGTCCGACTGCCAAGATTTGGTCATTTTTCTCACCAGTTTAATTCCGGGTTGGCCAGGCACTTGAACACTGTCTAACTAGAACCAATTATAATTTTTCAAACCGTGAATGGTGACACGCGGTCGTAAATCTTTTCGCTCCACAGCTAGACGCCGTCAATTTATGCGTGTTCTTTGTCGTTTGTCGGTTATGCCACAGCAGTTGGTAAATGACGCTTGATGCGTCCGCAGGTGAGAGCCGACCCTTGAACTGCACGAGTAAGTAGCGAATAGTGGCCTCCCGCAGGTGTCCAAAGCCCACGTTGAGTGGTCTCAGCATGCGCTCGGTGGCTTCAAAGACGTTCCTCATGTAGGGTAAGATGCCAAAGATTTCCGCTTTTTGTCTTTACTCACCGTCGGTCTTCATGTGTCTTCGGTGTAAGTATTTGTTTACAGAACAGCGCAGAAATTCATTGCTGGAGAAGAGGCGTCATAAAGTTTCGCGCTCTGGCAGATTCTCGGCCTCCCTAAAACAGTGCATGTCGATACGGCGAAAAAGTGTCCGCACGCAACTGTGTCTATGCGATAGAGGATGGTTACTGTTGTGGTGAAGGATTCCTCCGTGCCTGTCTCTTTTCGAAAGACACCAATCTGAAGGGGGGCTCGTCTTCCTGCCTAGATGTTTGAACATCGGAAAAAGGAATGCCACGCCCCTTTCTTCCTCCACTTTGAATTGAAGTTATGGGAAAATCGAGTTTAATTCCTTTTTAAAGGTCTATTAAGCATCACGACGTAGGATAACACATGTGTCGTTCATGTAGAGCATCCAGAATTCTGGCTTTTAGGACTGAAAAAAGCGGGCTTCCAGTTCTTGCAAGATCGCCTCAGCCAGGTAGTTGGTGAACGGGGATCCCGTGGGGGTTCTGTGGAGTTGCTAGTAACTATGGCCGCTAAATGTGAAGTACGTGCTTAAGCAGTAGTCCAGTGGCTCCATCACGTGGTCGCACACGCAAGACTGGTGTTAACAATCAGGTTCGCAAATGTGTTTAGTGACCTGTAGCATTCTTCTTTCAGGACAAAATCTTCTATAAAACGTGCGAAATAGAAAAAAACGGACTATTGGGGCCTGATTAGCCTTTGAATTAAAAAAAGACGACTAGATCGCGGTTGGTAGTCAGGCTCCGTATTACAGGTGGCTGAGGGGTTTGTTTATTGGGACTATCTTGTGGTGCTCCTTAATCATATCGGACCAATTTGGCTTCCGTTTTACGTTTGAGAGTAGGATTAGAGTACCGGTTAATGGTTTCCGATTTTCGGGTTAGAGTTATGCCTTTAGGCTTATATTTTCGGGTTACGGTTAGGGTTTGAGCGTACGATTAGGTTTCAGTTTTACGGTAAGGTTTTTCAGGTACGGCTATGTCTAAATGGTCACATTTACGTTTACGATTTCTGTTAGGGTTAGGGTTGCCGTTAGGACTAACGGTTAACGTTAAAGGCTGAGGTTAGGGTTAAGGCTAGGATTAGGGTTAAGTTCGCCGTCCGCTTCCCCAGGCCTGGTTACCAACGGCGATCTAGCCAAAAAAACAAACTCCACAGAAACTGTGCAACCAACTCCGGTGACAATGGAATGCCGAGGAGACAGATAACATAGTCTAAGAAACACTTGGAAGAGGCTTACCTCTGCTGAATTTCACATTCCGAAATCAGCAGGGCGCAAAGTGCTGAGAATTTATCCGAACGGGGATCTTTATATGATTCAGGTAGGTTAGATATCAGGGGCAAAAAATACTAGGTGATCTGGGATTTATCTAAGTCAATAAAAGAAGTGGGGTGAGGATAGGTTATGTAACCCCCCCTTGGATGGTTGTTCAGAAATCTACCTTCTCATCTTATTTGGGCAGGTGTGGCTCATAACCGTTTGCCTGGTAATCGGTTGCGAAAGGCGCTATATGATGCGCGGACTCCCTCCTCCACTAGCGTTAATGACATTCAAGGGGCCAATATCAGGCTCAAGGTTAGGATTAGGACTGCGTTTAATGTTAGGGTTAGTGTTAGGAGTTGAGCTATGCTTGGGGCTAGGATGGTCAGGCTTGGGTTAAAGTCTAGATTTGGGGTTGAGACTAGGACTGGGGCCTTGGTTTAGGGTTGAAGGTTTAGGATTAGGATCATGGTTAAGACTAGAGTTTTATGCTTAAGGTTAGGGTTAAGTTTTAGGGTTAGCCTTAGGTCTTTAACGCTTGAGTTAGGGTTACGGCTGCGTTTGTGTTTGACTTAAATGTTTACGGGCTAGCAATTGGGGTTATCTAATACAGGCATGACCGCGGTTGCCGTTAGAGTTGCAGTTGACTACAGTTTGTCCGGTGGGGTCACATACCATACCCCCACCAAAAGTGGAGAATTTCGCGGCCTTGACGGAAAGGTCACGCTGTCTGACAAAGAAAGTTTCTTCATTAGTTAGGGGGAGGGGAAGGGTGAATCTCATGAAGTCAGGCAACATGATAAATATCCAAAGAATTAATGTCTGTTCAAATTTTAGCGTCTCAAGCCTCATCGTTCCCGTCTTCCTTGGGAAACAGCAGGCAGTGATAACTGTTATTTTAAAATGGCACAGAACTTTCAAACCGCTGAAGTAGAATGCTTGAATTTTTTGTAGAACGCCCTATCTCGGCTGGATTCCGCAGCTTGCCAATATGCTGTAATGGAGGATGGGCTTGCAAACAAACAATCCGAAGTAGTTCGCGCTACAAGTAAATAGCGATCATTTTTGTTGCGTACTGTGGAACTACTAAACTAAGGAGGTCTGTTCTGCAACCTCAACACCAACGCAGCACAGAATGCATCTGATTCGTCTTGCAACTAGGAGACAAGGGGATACTCATAAGTATTCACTCAGTCGGCGCACATCTTTTGGCTAGAGCGGTTGGTAAAAAAATCACTAGGCAAGTGCCTCTTGTACGGCCCTGGACACAAGTTTTCTGCGTATAGGTTCGTGTTTTCACTGCCCGTATCAAAAAGAAGCGGCAAATACTCCTCTTACTAAAAAAAAAACAACTATCTCGAAAACCATAAACGGCGCGAAATGCCGAAACACGTAAACATTTGCTTCCGGCGCTAAAAAATAACGCCACATCCTATTTGCGTCTTCTATATATAAAGCGAGGCAAGAAGTTCGACTGAATCCACCAAATTCTAAGGGTGTACAAGGCCAATTGTTAGGAGCTTAACGCATACGTGAGGATGACTAAACCCTCTTAATAGACACAAAGAGTAGCTCTTTCGCCCACGAGCCATTTACGTCCGGTATTTTTGTTTCCGAAACCCTAGGACAGGCGCGCGGAATGCCTAAAATGGAAAAGCAGCTCACGCAAGTCGTCCACCAATGAGCTGGCGACATCCGCGTGCGTCTGTAGGCCGTCACCTCATCGCATCATTGGCCGAGAGCATCTGAAGCACGTATCGACCGATTGGGCAGGTGATAGTCGGCCAAATGCCGCTGCCACTGCTTACGCTCATGTCGACATTTCGCGTCGGCAATCAACCTGAGACAGACGCACAAAAACCAATGAAAGGTCGCGATTCAGAGTCGACGCAATGGCGGTCGCCTGTTGAGGGGGTGGGGGGAAGTAGTGCTATCGGGAGACAGCAGCTGGCGTGGCCATTAAAATCAGGCAGACTTAACTTTCTCCAACACTGGCAGGGAGGAGTAGAGCAGGCCTCTTTGGCCAAGACCCGGGGTAGAATGGGTCGACTGAAACGTTAAAAATTATTTCAGGAACAAGGAGGTCCAGGGTAAGGGGGAGTATCGATGAAATTTTTCAGATTGCAAATGAAAAGTACCGCAGCTAAATTTCCTTGTGCTCGTAAATGTTGACAAAGCGTGCGAAGCCGTTTCATAGTTCTATAGCTAGGAGCTTGCTTTAAAAAAGATAACAGTGCCACGCCTTCGGACGCACCGATAGTGGACAAAACGTTTGCGAGGTGGTATTGTTTTACAATAAAAGTTGGTATGGTTTTTTACTTGTCAAATGCCGAACATAGTAAAATTAACCAGCAAGACGAATTTAAAACTATACAATCGAATGTTGCACAAAGCTTTCTACAGCACGCCTCGAAGTCAGTCGGTATTGGGAGGAGGAAAGCTCTACTAGGCACGACTGAAATGTAACCACCACCTTCCTGAAATCTATGCTTGCTTGATTGATACTTACTTTTATCGGGTAGACGTCTGCATTTGATAACTGACCTTCGATGTACTTTCGACGGTATGTTCGCCATATTCCTTTCTGTGAATGACTGTGGGCTAAGTAGGAAATACAGAGTTTAGAAATATTGCTTTACTATCGAATGACATCCTTGGAGACTGGTTCCGTTCTCTCAGACGCTATGGGCAGCATTCGACAATGAAGTCCAAGAGAAACGTAGGGGTCGTTTCTGGCCCGATTTCCGTCCTCATCCAGCCACGATCCAACCATAATCCTCAATGATCCAGGATTTTAACCCGCTTCCAGTTGGCCCTCGGGTATAAACCTCAATCGGATGAACTGTTAGGGATCACAGCTTGTGGACGGCGATCAGGAGTTCGAAAAGTCGCCTGAAGTCTACTGATCTGGACGGATTTCCGGAGGGAGAATAGAATGAATGTGTCTCGTCTTGGATCCCTGATCTAGATATCTCATAGACTATCATGGAAGTGAACAGGGGAGACTGAAATATCCGTTTTAGTGTAGTTGTCATTTAGTATTCATCAGTATCTTCTTCGACTTTTGCAAATAATAACAAGCATGCGCCTTCGCTACCGGTCGAAAGTACTTCAAATCAGTGAAATATGTTAGTCAGCTGTAGGCGTAACAATTTTTTTCTATTTTTCTCATCTTACTGACTAATAGACAGAACGAACCCTCCGTATTCGGTTTTGAGGTCAGGCTAAACTGTTGAGTGAAACTCCCATGCGACTTCGAGTATGCCCCACTACAGCCACCAAGACGCGAACCCGTGGCGCGATGTTGACTTAGTTCACAATGATCCTCAAGTTCGGGTCTAATTCCTAGATCCTCCTCCTCCTCCTCCTCCTCCTCCTCCTGATGATGATGATGATGATGATGATTCGTCGATATTTTGGCAGATTTTGAATAATTCCTATTGACCCAACTCGGTGGAATTCGAACCCACGCCGTAAGGGGAAGGCTTTAGTACAGCCAACGCTCTAACCACCTGAACTACGAGGCCCCGCCGGACGACTCGAGTTTAATCACATTTGGGTCAAGTTACCCGACAAACCTACTGCAACGTCTGGAATCCACCAAATCTGACACAGTAAGTTGACTGCCCAAGCAGGATTTCCTAATTCACGTAGAATCCACCAGATGACTACCAGGCTCACGTAATTCATCGATATTTTGGCAGATTTTGAATGATTCCTATTGACCCAACTGTCGTCCGGCGGGGCCTCGTAGCTCAGGTGGTTAGAGCGTTGGCTGTACTAAAGCCTTCCTCTTACTGCATGGGTTCGAATCCCACCGAGGCGCCGAATTTTTCACAGTTGGGTCAATAGGGATGATGATGATGATGATGATGATGATGATGATGATGATGATGATGATGATGATGATGATGATGATGATGATGATGATGATGATGATGATGAGAAAGCGACAGATGGCGACCGAGATCTTTCTTATATCGATCTAAGCGAGTGTGAGTTCCAGAAAGCAGTTGCGAAGGAAGAGGAGGCGCGAGTTCTGAAACAAAAATCCTATTTGTCTGTCAGACTGGGGTTTGAATCCAAGACAGCAGGCAAATAAAACTCTTGTTCCAACGATCGCGTCTCCTTACCGCAGAGTCCGTCTTCGTCGTAAACGGTCCTCGTTCGTTAGTATTTACACGCGATTGAAGGTCCGCACGACATTTACAGACAAACTCCGTCCAGTCAGTTTTTGCAGGACGATCGTTTAATGAAGTTCTGGACTTCACATCCCCAGCTGGAAAAACCACACTTGTCATACTTTAAAGTCAACCACTGAAACATATTTTTCTTTAAATCATTAACCCGGATCTGTCAACTTTGTCAGTTTGAATTATTATTAAGGCTAGATCGCAGTTAGTAGCCAGGAATAGGGGAGCGGACGGCGACCTTCACCCTAATCCAAACCTTAACCCTAACCTCAACCTTAAACGTCAATCGTTTACCTTAACGGCAATCATAACACTAACCCTAACTCAAATCGTAAACTGAACCGTAGCCCTTAGGCATAGCCGTAACTGGAAAACCTAACCGTAATACTGAAACCTAATCGTACGCTCAAACCCTAACCGTAGCCCGAAAAACTAAGCCTTAAGGCATAATCCTAACCCAAAGATCGGAAACCATTAACCGGTACCCTAATCCTGACCTCAAACGTAAAACGGAAGCCAAATGTGTCAGATGGGATTATGGAGCCCCACAAAATAGCCCCAGTAAACAAACTACCCAGCCACCTTTAATGCGGGGCCTGGCTACCAACTGCGATATAGCCATTATTAATTTCGGGATATGGTAGAACAGAGGTTACTTCGGGTTTGTTTGAATTACTGACCAATTAGAATGTAAACCGAGGGTTCGGCCGTCGTGACCGACGATGTCCACCGTATGCTACGCAGCAGTGTGAGAACAGGGATGGTGACTCGCGCGTGATTTTTTTCATACTTATAGCAGACTTGCACAGCATCTACCACACCCTCTCCTCCTCCACCTGAATCCGGTGCAAAGACAGAACCAAAAAGGCGGGGTGCAAGTGGCTGGCGCGGCGACAACTCGCACCTAGGCGTACCACCACACTCTCTGCCCCCACAATGGACAATGACCAGGATTTTAAATAAGAGAAATAGGGAGGGTGCGACACGGATCCCATCTGGCGCGGCGTGGGCCTGCAAATTGGCGCGCCACCACACCTCCAAATGCTGGCATTTGGTGTGGATGCGCATTCCCACAAACGCCCTCCGGAGTCCAATTCAGCTCCCGCGTGACCCGTTTTAGGGGCCCGGAAGGTAAGCTACCAGCTGGTAGAAAAAGCTAGGCGCCTGTACTACTACTACTACTACTACTACTACTACTACTACTACTACTACTACTACTACTACTACTACTACTACTACTACTACACAAATGGGGGGAGGGTTGGGGGCGGCGAGTTTAGTGCAGATATTCTCAACTACGTCTGCAGATAGGACAGGAGAATAGGCACCCCCGTATTACAGGTGACCTTGGGTTAGCACCGGTCTGTGTCCCTTCTCGAGGTCAGTGTCAGTCGACATGTTTAATGCTTGGCTAGATCTCCAACATCCTCTCCACTTGGGGGCTTTTGTAATGTGCTCTACTACGGCAGCGAATCCGAATCTGCAGGTAGCCTGGAACCCTCCTTGACAAACGGTTGTACTTTCCGGTCGACTCATAGCAATGGCCTGACCTTGTATCGAATCTCGGACAGGAGTCGTTTGTGTTAGAGGCAGTAGATCTGTCTCGTGGCAAACAGAAATGAAGAATTTACAAAAATTCTTGGTGTGCAAATTCCTGAACATTTACATGGAAATGAAGACAAAAAGGGAGGAGAAGGGGAAAGCTGTTTCCCAACAAGAAAAATCATCACCTCTACTTCTGTTCAAGCTCGAATCCACTTTCAGGAGGTGGAAGTAGTAAAAAATCAATTTTTATGGAACAATGATAATTGATCAGATGATGAAAATACCCAGTCACTCCTGACATGATTTTTCATCCACCCTGGACGGCTGCAACGCGAGCTAAATGACTGACATCACGGCGGACTGAATTGTTGTCGAAAAACCAGGTTTTGGCGAGTTGAAGTTCCGCAATGGCAGTTGAGTGATCAATAAGCCGAGTCTAGTGGGTCTTTTATGTGTGGTCGAACCGCGTTTTGCTGCGTGGCATACACCCTCGGAACATATGTCGACTCCGCCGACTGTGTCGGTTCAGCTGTTAGTTAGTGACCTCCCCGAAACAATTTGCATTTTATGGCTGTGGCGAATGTTGTAGCAGAGCTCGTGATCTGTCTACCGCGCTCAATCAATCTTCGGCTGGATACTTGTGCGAGACTGATGTTACTCCGGAATCGCAGTCAGTTAAAACACTGAGAGTGACTTCAAACTTGTCCCAGCTATGTGTCAGAATGGCCCAAAGACAAAACTTAGCCTAAAAATCGTTTTCGCACTTTCAGCCTAAGGTTAGTCATCCAGATGCTGTCGTTATGAGCTACTACCACAGTTAAAGTTTCCGGGAAGATGGCATTGACCCAGCGTTCTGGACATCGCAACCAGGTCTCCAGATTCCTATGGGTGTTGTTAGCGTCGTGGCTAGTAGGCTTCAAACCATGACTGTGAATGAATGCTGTCACGCATGTGAGATGTACGCCGCTCAACTCCGTTGTGAATTCCCAGTACTTGTGTTTGGGAGTCCAGGTCGTGCATGAAGCGCACGCAGTCGAGGCCACTAGACATGCCAGCCACGCGCCCATTCCTCGCATCAGTCAACTGATCAGGTCGGACAGTGGCCGGGACCTAGGAATGGGAAGGGAGAGTGAAGTCCGCGACTCAGCGTATTTTCCTCACTACAAACAGTTCAACGCGATTGAAGCTATCAAGGTGCGCTAAATGCCGTGGCTTAAAAGGTTTCCAACTGACGGGATAACTTGGACTTCGCAGTCGGCCCAGTGCCGTGCGTTCGTGAGGAGTGGTCGAATGACGGTATAAGGGTCAGGCTGCAACGGTTCCTTCTTAATGTTGCCTTCATGGCACTCCCATTGCGTGGGATCCGAGCCGGGTGTGGCGGCACGCCTACATAGGTGCGGTTTCAGCCGCGCCAGCCTCCATTCTTTTGTCTTTGTTGGTTAAAATCCTGGTCAAGTGTGTTGTGGACCAGGGGGTGTTGTGGCACACCTAGATGCGGGTCCCGCCGTGCCAGCCTCCTGCGTCCTTCCCCGCCTCCGGTCTTCTTGACTCTGTTTTGACACCGGGTCCAGGTGGGGAGTCACCTACCACTTTAAGCTAATTCACGCGCAAGTCACCTTGTCCGCTTCACTTTTCAGTGGAGCACACAGTGGGCATCGTCGGCAACGACGGTCGAACTGTGGGTGAATGACTCCTGATTAGCGATGAACAGCGGCCTGGTCCTAAGGGAGGCGATGGTACCGGGAGGTTTAAGAAGATAATTTGTAATTGTCAGTAGTTCATATCGACCGATATATAGTAGGTGTCCTGTTGCAAACCAATTCTGTTTGGCAAATGTCGACGTTCTAGCAAACTGGGAGTCGTCCAGTTGAGTCATGCAGTCTGCACTGTTGGCAGCGGCAATAGGCGTTTCATCGTAAGCTGGGGAGTAAAGGGGGCTGGAGGTATGTAGTCCTTTGCGGACTTGTGGTGCATCTACCACACTCTATCCTTCCAAAATATGTATCATGTTTCAGTCGCAAGTGGACTGAAAATGGACATGGACACAATGGCTGACGAAGCCCAGGTCACATCTACGCGTGCCACGCACGCGACCATGCCGGTGTCTAACCCCGCCCGAACAGGTCTTCAATGGGCGGTTTTAGAACGAGGAACAAGTTATTCCATCGGTTGACAACTGTCCCGCGACGACTTTTTTGGCAGGTCATGGTACTTTCGAGCATCTCAAACTCCGTCTGGCGGGGAATAAAAGCTCTTCAGCATCGGTCTCCCTGCTCCCTCCGTGCACAAACGACCCACCGGCGGGTTTGGTGTACAGCAGTGATGAGGGTAAAAGCAGTCACGGGAACCTCTATGAAAGCCCACCCACTCACACTGTTGTCATCCGAATGAAATCACGCCGATGTCCGACGTTTCGGCAAGTGAGGATGAGGGCTGTATACACCTAGCTGACCCGAGAATCGATTCCAGCTTAACCCTGCTAGTCTGTCTCGACTCAAGGTAGCAGTAGCTGCCCGAGTTTCGCCGTCTAACGTGAAGTACGAGTCTGCATAAAAAAACGGAGCAGACGAGACGACCGAGCCGAGACCAGACGACGACTGCTCAGGTCGCAGACATCTACATTGTCAACTGTTTGTCATTGTGTGGTAGTTGGGTGGGTGTTAAGCCTTGCCCATAAGGCATACTTTGCATCGCAAATGACTAAGCCTCACGAATTTGAACACCAAAGGACCAGAAGCGGAGTAGAGGGTCAGGAAAACGGGGACGTTTATCCGTCAAATAAGTCTAAGCGGAAAAGTTCATCACCAATAACAGTTTGACCGTCGCTTCTGATGACGTCCACTGTGTGCGAACGCAGCAGGCTGGACGTGAGGACAGCGACTTTCAGAGGAACTCGTTTATATTGATAGTAGACTTGTGACACATCTACTACACTCTCTCCTACTCCTCTCCCACCTGAATCCAATGTCGAGAACGCCGGAAGTAGGAGAGGGGACAGACACGGCAGAAACCCACAATTTGGTGCGCGTCACCACACCGACTCAGATCCCACTGACCGGGAGTACCATAGAGGTCATAGTAAAGAGTCATTGTGGCCTGACACTAAGTCCACCAGTCGACGGCCCCATACAATCACACCTGACTGACTGTGAGGTCGGAGTTACTCCGTCAGTTGATAGCCTTCCGAGCCATGGCTTTTAACGCGCCGTGATAGTCTCAAACATGTCAGATTTCTCATAGTGAGGAATTATGCGCTGAGAGTCGACCTCACTCGCTCTAACCTACCTCATCCTCCAATCGACTGTCGGAACTAGTCGAGCAACTGGTGCCGGGATTGGGAGGGTGGCTGACAGAGCTGAGAACAGGCTGTCTGAGCGTGCCACACACACGGCCCGTAACCCATGCGCACACCACCGTTTCACACTCAAGAGGGAAGCGGCCCAGATCGCACATGTAGCAGAGGAGCCACATGGAGAGGGAACCGGATGGCGCACTTCTTACTTAAGTGAGGTGTCATTGACGTGGGATATTGGAGGTGTCCATGTGTGGTGATGTGATCATGTCTGCGGCGATTTACCACAGGTTTTCATTGAGATGCTTGCAACCGAATAGGTCCATACGATGGCTGAATGTGCGAGGACAAGGCGGGCAATCGAGGCGATGGCGCCTGGTGTACGTTGACGCTCCAGACACTGGTTCGGCAGTCTCTGTGCATGGATTCGCAAGTGACCAACCCGACCGATGCGTTGGATGAATGCGCGGTGACGGCGTGGGCAGAATAGGTTGGGGATGTTGAGTCGGTTGCCCATGTGGTGTTGTTAGTAGTGGGCGCGCTGGCAGATGGAGAGTTTGTGGGGCTGGGGATGGGAGGGTTGGTGGATGTGCAATGTGCTAGGTGTGTTGATATTGCCGTGAATTCTGTTGTTGTGGAAACACATGACCGGGTAGGCTCGCACGGTACTAGTGGGAATACTAAGTGACTATCTGGTGGAATTCGGTGTATATCTCCCCCGAAAGGCTTTACCAAAGGACTACACATGAGGACGGGACTTTCAGTGAGGACTGCACCTTGCTCTCTCCCTGAGATCGCGCTGGAGACCCGACACGAAGTCAATATAACAGCAGACTAACGCACGAAAAAACGAATGCAACCCCAACTGAGGCGAAGCTACGGAGTAAAGGTAAATCTGGTGTGTATATTAGACGAATGGCCAAAAGTGACTTTTGTACGAAAAGACGATAGAGAGAGGGAGAATCCAAAACAACATATAGATTTCAGAACTGAGGGTAGAGGAGGAGGATTGAATTCATTAATAGTCAAATCCAGTGAGGTGTGGGAGGGAGGCGGATGGAATATGGAGTGGAAGTATATAAAAGAATAGTCAGAAGTCAAATGCGTCTGCGCGCACGAAACAACATCTAGGATCGAGTAGGCGGGGTAGTGAGCTGGGGAAGGCCAAAAGGATTGAGTTATCGTCAAATCCTAAGTAGGCGGCATACTGGCCCTGTGATAACACTGTTCCCAATCAGTGGTCAGTCTGAGTATATATATGCATATATTTATATATGTATATATATATATATATTTTGTATATATTGCACATATAGAGTGGAGGGGAGGGGAAAGGGGCATGTTTTGCCTTTTTTTTTACCTAGTAAATCATGGGGCTGGTCTGGGGAAGACGGAACAAAAGCTGGAATGGTTACTGAAAAATCAGCTGGAAAGAGGAGAGTGGAGTGGGGGGGGGGGGAGGGGGATAACGTAG